ATGTTTAAAGAAACATCTGCGAAGGAAAAGAGATCCATTCCAGGGTTTTTGGGCACACTAAGAACAGCTTTAGATCTGTCAACAAATAAAACAGAGGTTCTTGTAAATTTATTACAAGCCAATTGTAGAGAAGACTGTGGTGCTCTACTCAAGACAAGTACCAAGAGCCAAAGAATTCCTGCAAATAGTGTAACCCACATCAGGTGTAGTGCCCACACAGGACCCCCTGCAAGCTCAGAATGTTTTGTTTACACCAGGTAGCAGTCATCATTTGTCTGATGGGCTGTATATCAGTGAAACTTTAGTAACAAGTCAAAGAGGACAGTTCTCCAAACTGTTTGGAATACAACCAAACAGCATTGTTTTAGAAGGCCAAACCAAGCTTGGATGCCTTGAGCCGATAAAGACAGCATATCCAGCACAAGTGAAGCTGAAACAAGTAGTGAATGTAGGTACTCATTCAGTAAGTCATGATCTGCATGCATCTACAACAAGCTTAGAAAACCGGATGGACAATATCAACAAGGTCAATTCTCTTGAAATTCCGCAAGTGCCTCTCAAACACCTCACTAACTAGGACCAGCAAGTAGTCCAAAAGATGTTAAGGGAAAAATGCAATGCTTTTGCAAAAGATGACTCTGATGTGGGATGTATTCCTTCCTTAGAGTTACAGATTCACCTCAAAAACAACACACCTGTCAAGAAAACTTATATGTCTGTGCCAAAACACTGCACCAAGAGCTAAAAAGAGTACCTGCAGGACCTGCTAAACTATGGATGGATTGCAGACAGTTTGACAGTTTAAGTTTAAGACATGCTTGACAGTTTAAGAAGAAGTTCATGGTTCTCTGTTTTGGACCAGGGAAAAGCATATCATCAAGGATTTTTGGAAGAAGCCAGTCGACCATTAATAGCCTTTAGCACACCTTGGAATTTGTATGAATGGATGCGAATACCCTTTGGTCTTAGCTCTGCACCTGCCGAATTCTAATGCAGTATGGAATTATGTTTAATTGCCTGAGGGATGACATCTGCCTGCCTTACCTAGATGATAATCTGATCAACAGCAAATCATTCCATGACCATGTAGAACACATACGGTTAGTACTTCAATGCTATCAACAACATGTAGTCAAACTAACAGCCAGAAAATGTGAGCTTGTTAAGGACAAAGTCAGATTCTTGGGCAAGATTGTGTCGAAATATGGTCATTCGATGGATCCAGCTGAGATTACACCTGTACTTGCATTGAGAGATAAAAGACCAGGGACGGTTGGAGAACTCAGGAAATTATTGGGGTTTCTCTACTACTACCGTCCCTACATACAAAACTTCTCCAGACTTGCAAAGCCTCTCTACGACTTACTGTCAGTAGACTCAAAATCTACTCTGACTTTGGCACCTGCCAACCAAATTCCAAAGACAAAGAAACCCAGACCAAAATAAAAAGGTCAACTTCCCTCCCATCATCACATAGATTGGACTAACCACCATCAGTAAGTATTGAGCCAGCTTATTGAAGTATTAACTCATCTGACTATTCAAAGTCATTTGTACTTCACTGTGATGCCTTGCCAGAAGGACTAGGGGCTGTATGATACCAAGAACAGGAGGGGAGATTAAGGGTAATTGCTTATGGATCTAGAACTCTTATACCTGCTGAGAAGAATTACCACATGCACTCAGGAAAACTAGGGTTTCTAGCAATGAAATGGGAAATAGGTAACAGATTTCAAGATTACCTATATTACAGTCTGTCATTCATGGTATACACTAACAATAACCCTCTAACTTATGTCCTTACAACAGCCAAGTTGAATGCTACAGGTCATAGATGGGTTGCAGAATTGGCTGACTTTAACTCAATTACTGTCCTGGGAAAAGAAATGTTGATGTAGAGGTACTCTCTCGTATGCCCTTGAGCCCTGAACAATACATGCAACAATGTTCCCAAGAAGTAGACTTTAAGACAATCAGTAGCATAATCCAAGCTATTCAAGTACAGCAGGAAAGAATGTCTTGGTTGTGCTTGATGACAATTGCCCACACAACATCAAAATCAGATTATGGTGCTTTAAAAAAAGTAGTTCAGATTCCCAAAGAGACAATGAAAACAGCACCAAAGGAAGACCCGGAGATTGGAAAAGTATGGAAGTACAAAAGTCAAAACAGGTTTCCATCAAAGCACTAACGTCAAGGTGAACCCTCTAATATCTCCATACTCATAAGGCAGTGGACCAAACTTTACCTCGACAATGATGGAATTTTGAGATGAAAAACATCAACCGGCTCCCAGCTAGTGCTGCATAAGATGTACAATCACTTATTATTTAAAGAGTTACATGAAGAGATGGGACATTTGGTAGTTGAAAGGACTGTAAATCTAATCAGAATAGATTCGTTTGGCCACATATGCAAAGCGACACTAAGCATTACATTAATCAACAGTGTAGTTGTTTGAAGGATAAACGCCCAAATAAGCCTGTTCGAGCTCCACTGAATAGTATTGTAACAACTTATCCTTTTGAGATGGTTTCCATTGACTTTCTGCACCTTGAAGCATGTAAAGGTGGATATGAGTATATCTTAGTAGTAACAGACCATTTTTCAAGATTTGCTCAGGCATATGCAACCAAGAACAAGTCAGCAAAAATGGTTGCAGATAAATTGTTCAATGATTTTGTCTTGAAATGTGGATTTCCTACCGGAAGTCACCATGATACGGGTAAAGATTTTGAAAATAAATTGTTCTTGGCATTGGGAAAGCACTGCCACAAACAAAACTCTCACACAACCCCATACCACCCAGAAGGCAACGGACAAGTTGAAAGGTTCAATTGCACCCTATTATCCACGCTTCGTACTTTGCAAGCAAATTTTTTCATTTCTTTTTTATTCTGGTGACAAAGGTAGTACATGCCTATAATTGTACCCGGAGTGAATGTCCCCGGGTGGCCCCGCCCCTTACATATTTAAGAACTGTCAACCAGGCTCACAGCAGAGAGCTGGGCAGCCATCCTCGGGAACAGAACTTTTTTTTTTTCTCTTTTTGGGTTGCCGGCGGCGGGGGACATTCTTTTAGATTTTTCTTTTATTAAATGACTTGTCAAAGGCGGTGTCCTGTATTTTTTTCTACTACACTCGATTCCAGTGCATTTTGGATGCATTTTTGACATGCTCCAGTGCATTTTGGATGCGTTTTTGATGTGTTCCAGTGCATTTTGGATGTGTTTTTGACGTGTTTCAGTGAATTTTTTTATGCATTCCAGTTAATTTTTTCCCTTCTCTTTTTCTTCAATTTAATTAGGGACATGTGCGTTTTAATGCGTTCCAGGGCGTTTTACCGTGTCCAAGTACAGTTCTATGCATAAACAATACAGCCTGTTCGACTTATTTGGCAGCACCTGCAACACACTGGAACTATGACATTGACAACCATATAACCTTCTTTCTGTGCGTTGTGGATGCAAAAAAGCAACTGAAATGCATGTAGTGTGAACTGGCCCTAAAGGTTAATATAGGTAAGGGAACTGGACTGACCAGGAATTGTGAATTCAATCAGACTAGTGGTGAGATAAAATCAGGAATCATATAATAATGCGAGATCTGAGCTGTAGGTTATAGGAAATGAGACACATTAACTTGATCAGTAAATAAATAGTTAAATAAAAAGAGTGGGCGGTGATACATAGATTTGCAGATAGAACAGGTGATGACAGAGGCGGTGGGGGGAGGGCGACAAGTTGTATAAGGAGAGAAGTTTAAGGGCTCGTTCACACTTGATTTTATTTCTAACTTTTGCCAAAGGGCCCTCTAGCATTTGACAGGCATTTGATTTTAACGCTCCTCAAACACTCTATGCACGGTTTTAAGGCATTTGATAGGCGTTTGCCAAGCGTTAAAACTGCACCACAAATGCCTGTCATGAAGTTAAATGGTATTAACGCTCCGCAAATGCCTTGCAACCTCACTGCAAATGCCTGCCAGGCGTTTGGGGAGCAGCACCATAGACTTGAATGGGAAGCTTCAACGCAGAATTTTCATAGGCGTTTGAGAAGTTTCCCTGACACCTGCTGACAAAGCTAGTGTAAATGTAGCCTAAGAGAAGAGAAACAAAGTTGTAATGAAATATAAAGAGATGGAAAATTGAAAGTTTCAAACTTGTCGGAAGAACAGGACGCAGGTAAGATTCACTCCCATTGATTGATCAATATTCCTGGCACTGACAGAACCCTGGAAATTGATCTCCATATTTTGGGCATTTACAAATGTCAAGGAGCTTACAATCTAAGGCCAGAAACTCAGACATATACTAGGCCTAAATAACCTAACAGCATGTCTTTGGAGTGTAGGCAGAAACACACCCGTGCAGAGAAAGCATGAAAATTCCACACAGGTCAGCCATGACTGGGATTAGAACCCGTGACCCAAGTGCTGTAAGTCCTGAATACTAACCAGTAAGCCACTGTAGGAGACAGAGTTTGAGCTGGAAGGTAAAATAGTTACATGATTAAAGAGAAGGAAGATCTATAATTATATTGGGAAATTATAACTAGACATTCAAATCATTTGAGATAAAAGTGTGAAAATGTTTGACATTTGAAAATAGAATGTATGACATTCATTAGGAAATGCATTAGTTGGCCGATCATTTTTGGAGAAACAGCAAAAAAAAAAAAAAAAAATTATAATATAGGTGTGCTTTTTTATTTTAACCACTAGCCTACAGGGCACTTATACTCACTTCCTGCCCAGGCCAATTTTCAGCTTTCAGTGATGTCGCACTTTGAATGACAATTGCGCGGTCATGCAACACTGTATCCATATGACATTTTTATCATTTTTTTGAGACAGAGCTTTCTTTTGGTGGTATTTAATCACCTCTGGGTTTTTTTTTTTTTGCTAAACAAACCAAAAACAACTGAAAAATTAAAAAAAAAAAAAAGTTTGTTTTTTTAAAATTTTGTAAATAAGAGATTTTTCTCCTTCACTGATATGCGCTAATGAAGCTGCAGTGATGGGCACTGATAGGTGGCAGTGATGGCCACTGATGAGGCGGCACTGGTAGGTGGCACTGATGGGCATTGCTAGGCATCACTGATGGGCCCTGAAAGGCAGCACTCATATGCGGCACTGATAGGCGGTACTGACTGGCACTGATAGGCGGCACAGATTGGCACTGTTAGGCGGCACTGATTTGCAGCACTAATAGGTGGCACTAACTGGCATTGATAGGTGGCACTGACTGCCACTGATAGGTGACATTGAAAGGCAGCTCAGATGGGCACTGATATGTGGCATTGATGTGCACTGGTAGGCACTGATATGTGGCATTGATGTGGCACTGATGGGCACTGGCAGGTGGCACTGATATGTGGCATTGAGGTGGCACTACTAGGGCTACACTGATCATCAGGGCACACTGATCATCAGTGCCCTGATGATCAGTGTAGATGTCCACTCTGAGGAATGCCGATTATCAGCTCTCCTCTCGAGCTGTCAGCGTGACAGCTCGTGAGGAGAGAAATACCGATAATCAGAACTTCCCTATTTACATGTGCTCAGCTGTGATTGGACACAGCTGATCACATGACCGAGCCGAAATCTTCAGCTCTTTCCATTGATCGGTGATCCGCTGTGTCCCAGGGAATGGAATGGGAGGACGTCATATGACGTCCTCCCAGAACCAGAGAACCGTCTTGCGCCCATCATTGACTTATATGGTGGGCGGGAGGCAGTTAAATTAGTATTCTCATATACAAACAGAAAACCTCCAAAGGGACAAAGCCCGTGGTTGTGCGCCACCTAGCGAACATATCCAGTATTGCATCTAGAAATGTGCCTGACGTGATTCCGGATTTACTAACAGGAAAGAGTCTACAAAGACTCTTTTCAATGAGCTTGCTAGACGCCTTTCTGATGACTGACAGGTCTAGATTGATTGAATTGAGTCTGCCTGAATGTTCAGCGTCTGCTGGTAGACTCATTTCTTAGTAAATCAGGGCCTTTGGTACAACCAAGTAATGTTACCAGAAGCTCAATTGTACAGGTCGTGAATCATAGTCATGCATTACCTGTTTACCCTAACTGGTATTGAAGCCCAGAATGTTTTGTTGAAGAATCTAAAATTTGGTACAATTTGATATATGTAGTGTTTCAAAGGTTATTCATTGTGACATTGTGCCATGGTTATTTAGTTCTACCAAGTATATTGTATGTTACTTTCACTTGGTAAGAGATACATGCTTATGACACAAGGAAAAAGAAGTTTAGGTGATGGAACTAGATTACAGAAAAAAAGGGTTGGCTGGAAATGGGAAAGAGTAAACAGATGATGTTATTGGTGGAGACTATCAGCTGACATTGCCAATGTACATTTAGTCTTCTGCTAGTCTTATATAAGGAAAGGGAAAAAGAAAAAAAAAATGTGTCCCCTAGATTTCCATCATCTTTAGTTCACTTACAGTAACTTACACAAAGATGTGTAAAATGGGTACTAAACAATTTGTTGCACTAGCAAAAAGACGTCGCCAGGTACTACAGCGCGCAATAGGCCTAGCGAGAAACTGTGACTTAACACCGGAAGCAGTTGCTGCAGGATGTTTCCTCAAGCAATCCAGATTGCTACTTACCCATGACTCCCTGTAAGACTGCAAGAAAACTATGCTTTATCATAGGCCATCTTCTTATGTCGAGGACGACATAAAATCTTGTGGGGGAGAGTGTAAATGATGTATAAAAATAGATATCTTTCAAAAACAAATTTCATATTGTATAGTTTGATACAATGTGCAGCAGCAGGCTGGGAACCAAAATCCTGCTCTGAAAAGGGGACACATTTCCTAGAACATTGCTTGCACAGTAGGGGGAAATGAAAAACCAGTAACACGTTTCTGGTAGGAACTATTATTCTGTCGCACCCTGTTCCTTCACGTTAATGTATGTCCCACGTGTCTTGCAGCTATCGCCTATTAACCAGTTACCGACCGCAGATAGCCGAATGACTACTACACTGCGGCCGGCTAGTTCTGGGAGAGTGTCATATGACATCCTCCCAGAACGCGCTCTCCTGCGCGCCCCCGGGGGTGCGCACTCAGTGATCTCCATGATCGTTGTGTCCTACGGACACAGCTAATCACGTCATGTGGTAAAAGGCCAATCACAGCGGCCTTTTACCATGTGATCAGCCGTGTCCAATGACACGCTGATCACAGGGAAATGCAATTGCCGGTTCTCGGCTGCACTTTCCTCACGCTGTCAGATCATGAGGAAAGCACTGCCGAGAACCGGCAGTTGTTAGAGCAGGGAACGGCACCGATCATCAGGGCACTGATGATCAGTGCCCTGATGATCGATGCCCAGCAGTGCCACCCACCAGTTCCGCCCACTTGTGCCCAGCAGTGCACCCACCTGTGCCCAGCAGTGCAACCACCTGTGCCCAGCAGTGCCATCCACAAGTGCCACCTACCTGTTCCCAGTGCCACCCACCTTTGCCCACCCGTGCCACCCACCTGTGCCCACCAGTGCCACCCACCAGTGCTGCCAGTCAGTGCCACCAGTCAGTGCCCAGCGGTTGTGCCAGTCAGTGCCCATCAGTGATGCCAGTCAGTGCCACCTATCAGTGCTATCAGTACCCATCATCAGTGCTGCCTATCAGTGCTCATCAGTGCTGCCTATCAGTGCCCATCTGTGCTGCCTCATCAACGCACATCACTGAAGGAGAAAAATTACCTGTTTGCAAAATTTTATAATAGAAACAAAGAAACTTAAACAAAGTAAAACACCCAGCGACGAGTAAATACCACCAAAAGAAAGCTCTATTTGTGAGAAAAAAATGATAAAAACTTCATATGGGAACAATCTTGCATAACCGCGCAATTGTCAATCAAAGTGCGACAGTGCTGAAAGCTGAAAATTGGCCTGGTAAAAAAGGGGGTATAAGTGCCCAGTAGGCAAGTGGTTAAACACCTCTATCGCACTGTGGAATTTTTTCATCATAAGTGCAACAATAGCAGCAGTCTTCTGGATTCTAGCAATGAGCGGCTGTAATTTTGCATGGGGGGGGAGGGCGCTCATTCAACACTGCCGCTATTCGGAGAAAGTCTTTTTTTTTTTCTTTTAACAAATACAAGTAAATGGCATTCAAAGTGAAAAGCAATAGAACACCTCCTCACTGACTGTCAAATGCCTTCTGAAAAGCAATCCACTATCGATAGCTCTACAGAAAACGAATGCAAATGTAAATAAGCTTTAATAGTGTTGATAATGCACAACTTATACTTAGTATACACCGTTTTTTTTTTTTTTTGCTTAAGCAGCAACAGATTCCTATATCTACACAAGCAAGGTGGATGCAGAAATTCTGCTATTGTATTCTGACAGCAGGACTCCTCCACTGTCAGAATACATTTATCAGCACTGCAGCCAGTTGACTGCAAGACACTGATCGAAGAAGGCTTTCCAGCAAGAAAATGGATGCACACAGATTGAAATTCGGCTGGTCCCTGCTGCAGCAGCAGCCAAATTTTGATCCATGTTTTCCAAGCTTTGTTGCTTCACCTCTCCATTACCTTCTACACCATAATATATTGCTCTGCTCTGCTCTGCTATTTCTATTGTTCTGCCAAGGAATTCTGCACACATGCTTAAACAAATAGACAAAAAAAGACACTTTAGAAGAAGAAGGACAAAGGTCCAAAGGGTAATATGATAGCAAAATTTTAAAAAAACCCACAAAGTATTCCAGTCTAATTGTATTTCTTAAATATAATTCCACCTGTACAAGTCATTCAGGAGCAGGCAGGTATTTATGTTAGAGACAATCTCTCATGAATCTCTTACAAATTGGGGGAAACTAGAAATGTACACAGTTTAAGGGTTATTTGGTATTGGAGATAGAACTGTAAGATAAATATTATTGGGATGAACTTGTGAGCCACTGGAGTTGAAAATCTATATATTAGATCGCTGGAATTATTTCTCACTCTCATAAGATGTGAATACTATAAAAACTGTAAATGATTATCCGCGCTCTAACATTACCTTGCCTATGCTATATATACTATATTATAGCAGTACCGTTAATTCATATATACTGTGGTGCTATAATCTAATCTGCTTTTTACCTGAATTACCTAGAATGATTCTATTGTAATATCCTAGTGTTTAATAAAACTTAAAAATATGTAATTAAATCAAATTATAATATTTATACAATGTGATTATTTCCTTAAATCAATTAATAAAATTCACTGTGCCAGTGTACAAATAAACTGAATATAAATAAATAAAAATATTATGTAAATTCATATAATCCAATGTGCAAATAATGCGAAATAAACCATACTACATCCACCAGACGAAGCTACGTTTTTCCCTGTGGTGCAACGCGTTGGGGAGGGGCAGTGACGTCAGTACGTACCGGACTGACATTACGGCGAGTACTGACAGAGTGTGATTATACTCTTGAGAGGCTGAGCAATACCGCAGCTGGTGGTTTAATTTTTACATGCGAGTTGTTTATTATTGCCATGTGAGTGCATAATGGGAGCACAATAAACAGTGTTTGTTATACCTTGGATAAAGCACCATATATTTTTATCTTCTTTCTTCCATGGGTCATATGAGGAGACATTGAGCATTGAAGTAAGGAGAGGCTCTAGGAGGAAGAAAACCTCACATCCACACAGACTCAGGAGATAGTCTGTAGGCTCTCATCTACATCAATAGAAGCAATCTATAAAGGAGAGTATATCACCAATATCTTCTTCCTACTGAATCCTAAAAACTTTTTTGCACATTTTTCTTTTTTGCACATTTTTGCACATTCTTGCACATTTTTTTGCTGCTGAACTTTATGAATTGATATTTTTTAATTATTTATATTATTTTCATATATTTATATTTCATTAACATATATATAATTTATGGTTTATTTCGCATTATTTGCACATTGGATTATATGCATTTACATAATATTTTTATTTATTTATATTCAGTTTATTTGTACACTGGCACAGTGAATTTTATTAATTGATTTAAGGAAATAATCACATTGTATAAATATTATAATTTGATTTAATTACATATTTTTAAGTTTTATTAAACACTAGGATATTACAATAGAATCAATCTAGGTAATTCAGGTAAAAACAGATTAGATTATAGTACCACAGTATATATGAATAAACGGTACTGCTATAATATAGTATATATAGCATAGGCAAGGTAATGTTAGAGCGCGGATAATCATTTACAGAACTGTAAGATAGTCATTCTAAGTACCCCTAGAGATCATTCTAACTCTAAAGATGACATTTAAATAAAAAGGGTGTAGTGTGTATTTTAATTGTTGCCTATATCTTTTAATAACACCATATTCTTCAAAACTACAGGTATATGTTTTATGTCTAGCAAGTAAATACATATATTATTGAGAAAAACGTTTTCTCCCTTTTATAGCAATATTGGCATACTCCCTGTTTCCAAGGAGTCTATATTGGTGACATACACTTTTTGGAGGCTCTGATTTCACTTACAGCTGTAACAGGGCTGCTCAGTCAATAAACTTGGACGTTTCAATAAGTTTCTTATTTGGCAAATGAATTGCATGTCGTAGAAAAGGCACCACCTGTATTTTCTACAATTCTCTTTTAAACACTACTGCAGCCCAAACAAAAGCAAATATCTTTACTGCCTTCTTTTGCAGTTCTGTATCCTTGACCCCACACATAAGTCCGTCTCTTTGCAAGGATCCCAGACTGCTGCCAAAATTACAAGTTTCTGATTTCATCTTGCAATTGGCTCCATCTGTTGAAAAGGAAACGCCTCACAGTTTTGGATAACGTAGGCGCAAAATGATTTTTTAACAACAAGAGTGATTTTCTCAAATGTCTGGGCTTTTGTATAACAGTCTTACCGGTGTTGAAGACTCTGGAACAAAGAAAATACAAAGATGTTACTTATAGCAGCCATTTGGATTCCACTGATTCCACCAAGATTTAATACCAATCTAAAAGTGCGGTAATACACAGCAACCAATCAGCAAATATATTCAACTGCTTATAACACTCTAAACTTAAACAAAAAAAAAAACAAAAACAAAATTGGATTGTTTGCTACAGGGTAGTGTCCATTGCGCATCATGCATGCTCTTACGGGCTAGCATTTTTTTTTTTTTTATAGTGCAGGGTCCAATTTTCACAAATCAGTTCCTTATGACAATACAGTCAAATGCATACACAGTGACTTCTTACTAGGAACACTGAACGAACATCTTTTACTGAAACCTCTGTGGCGGTGGATAAGGCTAAGGAGCAAAGTCAACACAATTTGCTGCACAGATGTCTTAAGAATTTTCACAGGTGTAACAAATGATCACTATATTGTTTGTAATAGGATTATCTCCTATGATCACCAGAACCATATAATGGCCTAAAAGTGGTGTTTTTCTGAAATACCCCACTATGGCCACTTGTTGGAGTTAATGATCACAGGAGACAATCATATTACAAAAGAGCCTAGTGATCATTCATTATGCCTATGCAAATATGTGTCAGGCAAAAATATTTTTCAATGCAAACCTGAGAATCAGCAAAACACAGGAATATCATGGCAGAAACTGTACGACTTCAAGCAAGTCAAACCAATGCTAAAGGCATAGCTAATCCCCCCCCCCCCCCCAAGAAAAAATTTACCTTTATTATCACCTAGTAATGTTATGAATAACACTCTCTGTCCCCCTGAGTGGCAGGCTCACTCCTTCACCGTATCTATGGAGGGAGCTGTGTTTGTCACCCAGACTAAACTTTAACCATACCTGCTTTGATTTGTCTGAGGGGGAGGAGGATTAGTAATTTCCACAAGAGAAATAACATTGTCTGGCAAGATCAGCTGGTATTTCCAGTACTTGCTAAAAATGTTCTTAGTCTGAAAAATGAAAACAAATGCAGTCAACACATCTAAGGACTGGTAAGCTGCAATATATAAAATTTTTGATATTGAGTTAGGTATAAGGGCCCATTCACTCCGAAGGCATTGGGACTACACTGTCAGTTATTCCAAGCGAAACCACGGCGTATAGACAAAACAAACATACTTGTTTTCAGTGGTGACACATCACACCACATTGCGTGAATACAACTGTGATGATATATCACTCTTGGTATTTCAATAAAGTTCTGCTGAAAATTAAAGTAAACACTGCGGTGCACTGCATCAGCACTGTGTCTCCTAGCACACACCCATGGCCATGTGGCTAGTGCACCTCACTAGTGTGAACAGGACATTTGAGTTTATTGACTTCTGTAGTTATCTGCAAGCAGTCTCAGTTCAGCAAGCGTTAAAGTGATTGTAAATGCTTGTTTTTATTTTAATAACAAAAAGGTTTATACTTATTAGCACTGTGCTCAATGGAATTGAACAGAGCGGCCCTAAATCTCCTCTTCTTGGGTCCAAGGAGTCAGAGGCTTCATGGGTGTAGGGAGTCAGAGTTGATTTAAGCAATTTTAATTGGTTCTTTTGTCTGGAATTTCAGGTGTCTATGTACAAAGACTGGTGGAAGGGGTTAATTTAATCACTTTCTCAGGTCTGGAATTTTCTGTGACAAGCAATTGCAAAGCAGTTACATAGTTAGTCTGGCTGAAAAAAGACAAAAGTCC